AGAAGGAAGGGCAAGTGCCAGAACTGTCTGGTAGCTAGATGATTTTCCTGGGAGACACACAAATTTCTGAAAGCAGCTCTCACTGCTTGGCCTAATGGTCTAAGTGCTAGGGAAAGGGTGGGGGACAGGACAGAAACTTTTCCTCCGGATGTATTTTAAATGAAAGTTGTTGCTGCAGTTAAATTTCACCTAAACCAAATCCTGTCAGTATGAAGCACAGGCAAAAGTCTCTGCTCAGGCAAAACTTTCAATGTGTTTATAAGCAACAGTTTTGTGGCTGTCAAGATGGGAGCAGTCTGGGTATGCTTTGAGACAGCTGTGGGCACTTGAGGGATCTTAAAGTAGAAGACCATAGTATACAGTTTTCTCTTAGGAAGAGGTTTAAAGTTGCTCCTAAGGATGAAGATGGAGGGCCAGCAGGACTAGTGAAAGCAGCTAGCCCCCAACACACAGCAGTGAGGTCATCAGCATGACATGGAAAACCTCAACAGACCCTTATGGGCATCATTAGACTTCTTCATACCTTTAAAAAAGCTGCTCTGTGATGCTATTTGCTTTCTATCAGGGAGCTGCCTGAGCCAGTAGCTCCCTGGGGGCTGGATCATATGGGCTCCCCTGAGGTGGCAGGGCAGGACAGCTAGGAGGGCACTGGGACAACCCCAGCCCCAGGCATCGGGCATCTCTCTGGGGATGGGGACGGCCCAAGCATAGGCTCAGCTTGATGAGACCACATGGGCAAACAGGTCAGGGCTGTGGGTAGCTGGAGGCTGTCCCTGCTGTGGTGTCACTGGGGCAGAGGTTGATGGTCCCAGAGGGCTGACATGGGGTCCTGGGCCATGGGCAGTGATGGGGGAGCCCCAGGGGCTGGGCTGGGAAGGGACAGTCAGGGTTGTCAGTGCCTCAGGTCACTTGCAAGCTCTTGGTCAGTCCAGAGGCACGTGTGCCTTATGTTGCTTCTGCCGTGTTGCCAGCCATGCCCTCAGTTGTCCACCCGCTGCTGAGAAGCCCATCACTCGTCTCAGCTGCTCTGGGTAAAGCCTCACCCGCCTGACTTCTGTGCACATCTTGCCTCCACATGGGCTTGGATTTCACCCTTGGTGCATACTTACAAAACTAATGTGCCGCTAAAGCCAATTCTCGTTTGCGATCTGAACATCATTTGGGCCTGAGGGTGTCCATCTCAGCTTCCAGGAGACTGATTTACACGTCCCTGAAGGGACATGCGGTTTTTCTATTGGGATGAAAGTTAGTCCTTGTCAAGTGTCAAAATGACCTGCAACACTTGGAATGAAAACACCCTGCCCCACAAGCAAAGCTGCCTGGGGCATGTGACTCCCCAGACCGGTCAGCCACCACACAAACTGGTGGTGTAGCACCCACGGGGACACACTGCATGGCAAACTGTGAATCTCAGCGTGGCTTAAATGCTGTTCTTCAGACAAAATAAACTCCTCAGAAACATAAACAAAGAAGTTTATTGCAAATAAAAATTCACGTTCACATCATTAAATCTTATGAAGGTCGTTTGCAAATTGTGAAGCATCCGTGTGCACAAGGGCTGCCATTTTCATCAGAACAGCTGCCTGGGACATGCATATATTTATCTGAATGTGCCAAGCCAAATACCCTTCTATCTGCAAAGGTTTTGATTTGGCTGGTGACTTCATTCTGACACTTCCACGGTTTCATTTTCTCTGAATCTGGCAGTAGAGGCTCATAGAAAACCCCAAACCAAGAATCTGGAAAGCAAAGACATTTCTGGTATTACTTGGCAGTCCTGGAAATCCCAGGATACAACCGATACACAGTGGGAACATTTTGTTTGCAAATGTCTTGGATTTACATGCAGGCTAAATCTGCTATGCAGAAGATCTTTTCCGATGTAATTCTTAAAGAACATGACTTTAGAATATAGCCATTTTAATGAAATCAGTATGTAGCACAGGTAAGACTGCAGACACGATGGAAAACTTTCATTTGTTTAAGATTGATTGCTTCTGTGGATGGGGAACCCTGTAACTCTGGGGGTTTAAAATGCAGTCATTAGCTGCAATGGAGCAGCAAATACTGAGAAGTTCAAGAAATGTGAACAAAATTTCAATCTTTTATTTTCTAAGAAAGCTGGAGAAATTTTCTGAGTTCATTGTATATTCTAAGGATTGTTTCCCTTTGAAATCTCTCTCCTTTTCCACTGGCATCTCTTTTATGTAAATATACGTGTAAAGACATGTATGTGCACATATGCCTGCATATGTATACAGGCATACATCTATACATATATCCCACCTTTCTGAGTGGCAAATGATCATGTGACAAATACTTATGTTCATCAGTAATAGATTTGGGATAGAAAGAGAGTCCTCTAAAGAAGCTGTTGCTCAAAATATAAAATTCAATAGGGTCACCTTCTGCAGTGGGAATTACTGAGTAAAATTCCACAGCCTGTGACAGACAGCTAGAGAGATCAGAAGTTCAGAAAGCTTCCTACTGGATTTAAAATTAACCAGTCTGTGAAGGTGTTTCACAAAAGTGGAAAGTATCCAATTAACTCTTATGAAGACAATGAACACCAGGTTGCTTCATTTATTTAAGGAAGGAAGGACAGCAGAAAGCATACAGAACACAGGGGTACAGCTAAGACAAGGGGATGGACACACAGCTGGAATAAGATGACAGGGCTTCCCTGACATACCATGTCCACATTTTCCCTTGCACCCAAGTGAAACTGGACCCTTCTCCATATCATTTCCGCTCATAGGGTGAGCTGAAACCACTGACAGCCCACAAGCGGCATAATGGAGTGGGCAGAGGGGGGAATGCTGGGGCAGAACACTTTTCCTTGTCCACTTCTTTTTATTTGGTGTTTTCCAGAGCAGAGAGATGGTTAAGCTGGGGGGGTTTGATTTGCAATTACTTGAGAAGTCCTAACATGTTAATAGCTTTGGAAAGGCCAAATGTTTATCAAGTTTGAATTGCCAGCTGACAATTTGTACCAGCTGAGGCTCATATTGTTTATTCATGTTGTTTTCTAATCCTTTTATGATTGGAAGAGCCAGCCACCACAGAAAATGCCAACTGGAGAACAGGGAAGAAAGATGGCCAATGAACTGAAGGCTACAACTCATGTAACTACAGTAACTAGAGCAAAGTGACTTATAACTTATCTTTGGGATACGGATGCAATGGTATACTTCTATTGTATTTTAAAGGCCTTTAATATTGCAGTATTTCACCTATTTTCCCCCCAAAGTCTACATATAGGCAAGAGACCTGACCCCCACAAATGGCACCTTAAATAACACAAAGCCTGTGCCAAGTAAGAATTCAGTGCCCTGTCCTCTCCCAGTGCTGCAGCTGTGTAACTCTTCCCCGCTTACTATTATTTTTCCTGGAAATGTATTTTTGAGTTGGGGCTCTTGCCCACTCTTCTACCACGAGGAGCAATCCTCTGCCAATGATGTTAAGAAGTTTTCATTTGGAATAACAGACTGAACTCTGCACAGCAATCTTCGTCATTTCTGCTTTTCCCTCAAACATCTATCGGCGGGGGCAGGGGAAGAGAGAAACCACAGAGGAATAGTGAAAAGAAAGAAAATGACTGAAGAAAGCAACATGATGAAATCCCCTGTTTCTTTGTCACTTTGCCCTAATCAAAGCCTATCATTCATCAAGTAGCTAACTGAATAACCTCACTGTTTTTCCTCTTCTCTTTGGAGAAAATTTTACATATTATTCTTCAGTGTACAGTGAAACTTTCTTTCTGCTTTTTTTTCTAACTTTTTCGGGTTTTTTTCCTTCTGCTTTTTTTACACACAGGAATATCTGGAGTAGCACAGGTGTGCGCTCAGGCATATTCATGCACCATCTTGATGGCTAAATTAGGCCTCAGAATATTAATTTTGTACCAGAGTTTCTCAATGTTCTTATGAGATTACTTTTGCTTCAAGCAAGAGAAGGAAAAGACTGGCTATTCTGCCTCATGTCTTCCTGAGACTGAGCTTCCTGTGTGTCCACACACACCTCTGTCCACAGGGCTCACTGTCAAGGCACAGCCTGGCTCCAGGACTGTCAAGGATTTGCAGAAAAAATCCCCTGTGATACACTTATACAGGCAGCAGGGTGGTCTGATCCCACCTAAGTTCACAGCTTGACAGCCACATACTGTTTATGGGAAATAAGAGTAAGATTATAGCTAAGGTGAGAGGTGTTTTTTCCTTGTCTATTAATTGAGCAATCCAGGTGTTTTAATCCCATTCCCAGTGTAATTCTAAGTAGAATATATTGCTTGTCAGCTATTAAATATTTTAATGGTGTATACTGTTACCTCAATAACAGCCAGTCCAAAGGCAATCCCCATAATTATGAGCAGATGGTCTTTAAGGTATTTGATAATCACATCTCCACAAGGCTGAAAAACAAGACAGAAATAGTATTTATAGGTAAGCAGTATTATCCTAAGGTTATCAGGAATGCATCCCCTAAAATATCTGTCTTTCTCTTTCTCTGTGTATTAAAGAAACTCTATTTGAACTTACTCTAGCTTGTTGCTGACAAACACACCTGCATGTACCTCGTGCTCTGAGGAAGATATCTAGCCTTGTCTTCCCAAATATGAAGATTAATTTAGTAGCTGACCATAAAAGTGTGCCATTTTGATCAAAGACAGCTGTAGCTGTAATGCCTAATGTTTGCGTGATTTTTGGTTGAAAAGGAAAGAAGCATTTGTTCTGACTTTCACTTGATAATAATTTGCTGCTAGGAAAGAGCCAGTGCAGCCATGACCAGATCTGAAAGAGAACTTCTGTTCCACAATAATCTGATCTTTTGATTTGAATCTTCAAAGCTTATTATTAGAATCAGGCTCAACTAACAATACTTGGATAAAAAAACCTAGCTTAAAAACGAATTTTGACAAATGTTTGGTGGGCTGGGGCTGGGAGGAAGAGAGTAATCATATATGAAGTTCTATACAGAGCTACTCTCCTCCTTAATAAATGCATACATCTGTTCTTATGATAATTACATCTTCTCCAGGCACGGGCAATACTCCTTTTGCAAACTATAGGGAAAGGCAAATACGGCTCAAGTCCATCATAACTAGAGTACTGTTCCAACACTAGAACTGCCTTCTGCCCAAATACTTTCACCATATTTCCTCCATCACAACAAACACACGGGCCTTCTCCTTCTAGTCCTTCTGAAAAACCTCTCATTTAAGCTGACTCAGAACTGCACTGAATTTCAAATCTTTTTTTTCCTGGATCACAAGAGCTGAATGTCTTTACTAATGTCTGACACCACCATGAAATCTGTGTGTTCATGTGAGTGATATCTTACACCTGCAGTAATTTCACTGATGGCTTCTCATGTGTCCTTTGAGGGTTTGCCTGAGGCCAAAAAGACATTCAAATGTGGCCAAAACAGCCTCTTTGTATACATCTTATTTCCAGATTGGGTTCTGGCATCGTCTACTTAACCAGACTGTTCCTGTGCTTTAAAACACTATTTAGTTCTGTGGGACTACACAGAGAGGAAATTAGTGTTCAGGCAGGACCTGGCTAAGGAGCTGTGCATTTAGAAAAGTATACAGCCAGAATGGACATTTTCTAAAGTCTGCCATGTGCTAGGTGAAGACTGGCAAGTTTTCTACCACCAGCATTCTAAAAATGCTGTTATTTTGTCCTAGTTTTCCACTTTTTTATATATATTTTTCTTTGTATCCATGGAGTTCAAATTTCCATACAGACAAATCTTGAAATTCATTCAAAATTGAGACAGAAAAATCTTTAAACCCATTAATATTGCTGCTGCCCACCTACCAATTTTTGACTACGTTTTCTTGTTGCCTGCCATCAGATATTTTTTTCCTTGTTATTATGTTAACTGCCACAAGCTTTTCAGATGTGTACAGTTGTAGGAAATTGCTGCCATGAAGCCTGCAACACGTAAGGTTTCTCTACAGCAGATCCTGCAAAATAAGTGTGGGGGGTTTTATTTAAGGACTATAAACCCCAAAGGTTTTAATTTATATTTAATTTAATACATTTAATATATTCATTTTTCAATATCCCTTGGCTCTTTGAAAGCCTGAGTCAACATGTTTACTACCAGAAGGAGCCTGGGTGTGTATATAACCTTCTGAAGGAGGAATCAGAGACAAAGGGTAGCTGAAGTGCTGCTCTGACCCAGAACCATACCCTGCCCCCAAAGACAACAGTTTTCATCCATAGTAGCAGACTGCTGAGGTCCTAAGGTCTCTGCACTGCACAGCTAAAATAGAGGCATCCCATGTGTATTGCGTGTATGCACAGTCCTCTCATAGCAGGTGGCACAGGGGCAAGTCTGGCTAGTGAAGAGAAGGCAAAACTTTGCCTTTTTGGAAAGATACAGAACTGCTGACTATGCCAGTTACCAAAACCAACCTTGGATTAAAACCTCTTTTTGGGAAGGAGAGTGGAACATTCCTTTTTTTCTTACCGTTTTATAAACGGATCTGCCTTGAAAAGTGGTGCAGAGGTCTGGTGATGGGTTCTTTAGGTCACACTCACAGATTTTATTGACGCCAATAAGATTATTAAAATTTCTTCCCCAGTCTTCAGCTCCATTTAGCAAACCACAGCACTGGTTCTACAAGAAAAGAGGAAATGGAAGGATAAGGGGAAAAGTGGTGATTTGCAGTTCGAGGAGAGTGGGTGAGGAAGCTGAGAGGAACAACAAAGGAGAGATTCTCTTTCATCTTTTCCCATGTGGAAGTTGTCCCAAATTGATATGTCTCAAACACCCTTTACTTTTCTACACCAGTTATAAGTAAGTGCACAGGTTTAAAAAAAAAAAAAAATCACCAAAACCCCCAAAAAACAACCACAGTTGCAGTGCTCAAAAACATTAACATATTTTAGAATGCTGCAAAGCTAGTAATTGTCAGTGCCAGAATGGAACTGGAATGTGGAACAGCAGAACAACACTGGGTATTTCACATCTTGAAAAGTCAGGCTGCAAATGTAAAATTCAGGCACATAAAACTCTGAAATCTAGAAAAATAACCACCTTGAATGATGGTTAGCTGTTTAAATATAGAAATGGACTGAGGAGGCCAGGGCTTCATTTGGGGTTTCTGAAACCTAAACCAGGTGCAGTTTCACTTCACGCTCCACTTTATTCAAGCCACTAAAGCTCAGGGGTGCAGACTTGGGTTTGAGGTCCTCCCTCTTTTAAAAAGCAGCTGGAAATGTTCAGGTGATTTTGTATAAAAGCAAAGGCTGTGGGACATAATAAAGCAATCCTGGTCTACTTAAAAATTAATACAGTAATTATGGGATTTTTCATTTTGCTCACCCTTCAATCACTTCTCCAGGGAGCTGCTTATTATATCAGAAGAAATAAGCTGGCTCAGAGGCGGAGGACAGGACTGAAGGTGGAATGGGTAAGTAGAAGTGGAAGTAATATAAGCAAACCAAATATGGTTTCTTGCTTCCTTTTCTGTCACACCAGGATGTTTTAAAAATAAGTTCTTTAAGCCTACACATCAAAGTCATTACCCATTAACACTGTCAGTGTATAGACACAGGTACTAGTGAGAGAAGAGGAGTCTACCCCATCAGTGATACCAGTGAGATTCAAGGGTATTCTCAGTGTGATACAGGAGTGAGTTGGCATAGTGTCCACCTTTTAGGGTCCTGCAGGTGGGAGAAGCCAGGATAGCCATAATCACAGTGAAAAGAAACCTCCTTTTTTTCATGTTTCCTTCCCCCTTCTTACACAGTAACTTGTGGCATTTAATGACTTCATAGCCATAGATTGTTCCAAATAAAATACACTCCTGAAGTTTTCCTTATCCCTGGGGTAATCTTGCCTTAACAGTACTGGGTAGTTCCTAGATGGGATACAGTGAGGGAGCAATGTCCCTTCTGAAGGGAAAGTTGTAACAAAGGAGTAGGCAGCCTTCTCATGAAAGAGCTTAGCTGTCAGTCTCACTTGCACGTTGTGTGTCCTTGTTCCATTGCCCCTATAAATACTATTGCACAAAGGAATCATCACAGAAAGCCCATGTCATGTCAAGAGAACGGAAGCCCCTTGTTTAGTGTTTCAACTTGCATTCAAGTCAGACCCTTCGCCATCCCCAGGGAAATAAATTAAAATATAAGGCAGAGTAGCCATAAATTAAGCACAGACAAATGCTGGAGGTGGAACAGATAACAACCACCTCTGCCCCTTGTTACATTTTTAATTACCTTTCTCTGAAACTTCTGGAACTTTTCTTGAAAGACTTTAGATTCTTCTGTAGAGCTTTGCAATGAATTCACAGCCTCCATCAGAGTCTTGTTAAGGGATGTTTCAATCTGCAAGTCCACATATTTTATTAGGTTTTGGGGTAGGAATAAAATTCTGGGAAGACATCAATGAAAATGAAGAATAATACTGTACCTGGGATCTGTACACTGCCCCCAAAATACCTCCTGTGACCTGAAGGATCAGTATCAGAAGCAGTCCAATAAAAAACTAGAAAGAAAAAAAAAAAGGATGGGATAAAATTACAGTACTTCTGACCAAGATGATTTCTTCTAAGTGAATGTTAAGCTTTCATATACTAGAATAACCATGTAGGCAGAAGGAACTGAAGTTTCAGTCAGAGCTGCTCTGGCTGTTCCTCCTTTGGCAAAGAGAAAAGGGGGTGCTTGAGACAGAGTATGCTCAGATGGTGATCAAAACAAGGTGCACACCAGAGCAGTGGCATGATGAGCAGTGTGTAGGTGAGACATGCTAGGCAGAAGGACAAGGAGGACATTCTAGGACCACCAGCAAAGCCGGCAAGTAGGAATTTATGAAATTAAATGGGAAAGGTAGTGAGGGAGGACTCTAGAGGGAAACTTTGGTGACAATTAGATGGAAAAAAATGCTAGTGACATGCTCTCTGAACACTGTCTTCTTGTTGATGAGACCATTCATCATTTTTTCTGCACTAGAATTTAGAAGAGGCTAAAGCAGAAGGTAAGCAACGAAAGCACGTGATCATAATAAAATATTCAGTTAAACAAAAAGATTCCCATCCTCATTTGATACTACTTGCAAGGACTTAACCCATCAAATGAAGCTGTGGCCTGTTAAGGGTAGCAAAATGTTTTTCTTTCCTACCAACAGCAGCATGCATCGGCTTTCCTTTATGGCACCACAGCACCCCAGAAAACCAAGGACCATAATGATGGAGCCCACAGCTATCATCAGGTCAACAGCTGCAAACAGGCTGCTGTTTATCTCCAACTCCTGAAAAGAGAGAGGAAAAGTCTTTCAGGTACAAGAATCTCCTCCTAAAAACATCTGTGTCCTCCAAAACAAGATAATTACTTCATAACTAATAAATGTACTGATTAGCAACCATGATCTGTAAATAAACAAACCTCTCATGCCCCCTTCTTAAACATTTTGCTGGGGAGCTTGGTAGAACCTGGCTTTTCATAGTCTTTGTCTCTGCACAAGATGAAACTCAACTTTAGAAAGTAAATGAAGGTCTCTTGTCTTTAAAGTGGCTTTCAGTTAGTTTCCAGTCAATTAATCTTTATTTTTTACTAGAAGTAGCAAAATTGATTATCTTGAAATCTCTCCTACACTAAGCAAATGTTAAAGAAACAAAATCCCTGTTTGTCATTAGAAGGCCAGGAACATACTCTGGTGTTCCTGAGAGAACACTGCTCAGAGTGATGCTGGATATGCTAGAGAGGTAGCAGTAGTTTCTAAAACAGGTTTTTGTTTTTGTTTTGTTTTTTCTTTTATTTAGGCATGATCTCCAATACCATCAGAGATGAGGACTGTATTTTGATGTGTGGGACTTTCAACTAAATAATTCATATACCTCAATATTATGAAATATCAATTTATTCAGTTCCCACAGGACTGACTAAGGCCAAAGGCCAAAACAGAGAAAAATGTTCAAAGAATATTTTTCCAGTGAGGCTGGTGCCAAGATTAGCAAAAGTGTCTGGAAGTTCTCACATTTATCTTTTGATGGAAATTGCAAAGGTATATAGACAAGTATAATTTGAAGAATGTGTTGTTCTTACTCCTTCCAAGTTGGACTGAAAATCCTGTTATTTATTCTTAGAAAGCTCTATTCATTTTCAGCCAAATCCTTATGGTCTGTTCAATTATTACTCAGGCAAAACATACATTGGTTTTCAATGGGAACTTTGCCTGCCTAGAGGCAAAAATGTGAGAAAATGCTTTCAATTTTGGTCCCTACTCTTAATTAACACTTTTGGGGGAGTACTAAGTGTCACTTCAGGAAACTGGTTTGGAAGACACTTAAGTACGCTTTTCAGAAGAGGAAATGTCTCAAAAAATAAGAAAGAATAATAGTGGTTATGATTTTCCAAGCTCCATTGTACCATCTGAACCATCATACTAGACGTGGTAAACTAGCAAGGATGGCAACTTTAGCTTCTGGCAAAATATTGATTGAGGAGTGAAAGTTGTCATTCTTCCTCTTCCACAGCAGGGAATGGCAGAGCTTTCCACAATGACCCAATTTACCCTCATGGCACAGTGTCATCAGAAACTGAGCTCTGTTGCATCCATCCACTGCCAGACCATGAGACATGTGACACTAGCTAGGGCCACAGTGTCATCAGCAAAATGGCAGGAAATGTATACATCTATCTTATCTCCACCATCTTTTTATTTCCAGATGGGAAGACACTGACTTGAAAATTATTGTTCTTAATTGAAGGACTGTGGTAGAGCAGTAGATGAGTAATCTCAAGATTTGCAACTTAATTTATACTAAAGGCTCAACCTGAGGGATAAAAAACCAAAAAGCTTCCATGTCACACCTGGCCATATTTTCAATTCTATGTTCAGAAGTCTTTTTGGTAATAGACATATGCACATTGAATTTTCAAATTCATTTACTTTTCTATGTAATTCATAGAATAAATTCACAAGAAGAAATACACTGCTTAGACCTTAGAGTCACATCATTCTTCCTGTTAGCATAACAAAGCACCAACACACAAAGATTGCACAATGCCTTTCAGAGAAGCATCTACAAGCTGTGGAATCAGCTTCTGCCAAGGATGGCAGAAAACAGGCTGCAAGTCAGAGTCCAGTGCCACTGGGAGAACACTTGACAAAAGGTTGGCAGGGCCCACAGGGCCAAAGGGCCTTTGCATCAAGAGATCCAGCCCCTGCTGTGTGTCTGCAAGATCCAGTGCTCCTCAAAATTGTATTTTCCCTGGCTTTGCAGAAAAGGAAAGTCATGAAGTCTGAAGTAACTTAATAATCTTGCTGTTTAATCTTAAACACCATAAAATGCATTAATCTTTACCCACACAAACCACCTCAACATAAACATAACAAATTTGTGGAAATGAAGATGGAAAATTAATGTGTATGCAGTAGCTTGCACATTTCACATGGTTCTGGTGTGACTGCATACATTACCTGCTGAGCGTCTTTGCTAACCCGAATCCATATAGAGACTCCCAAAATAATGGAACCACACACCTGCAGGAGAAAATAAGGAATAGTTAGAAGGATCAGCAATTTTAGATTAACATACAGCATCCAAATTGCACCAGATGTTCACCAAAATTCTGAAATCATTTGTTTGACAAAGTGAAAGAAACATGAATTGCTGGAGTATAGAATATTGATTCATATCCAGGAAACTTCATAAGGGTAGTTAAATCTTCAGTTATACACCAGATCCCTGATGTTTCTACCTCAGAAGACTCCACATTTCCTTGATGATTTATACATATGGTTGGGAAGCACACAGAAATTCTGTTAGATGAGAGAGGAATTCAAATTGCTATTGTATGTATATAACATGTCTGTAAAGAACATTGTTTCTTGTATAATGGAAACACGTGAGATTTAATAAGGGATGTTTGTATACACATTGTTTCTAGAATTATTCAGGACATATCTGGAGACAAATTCTTTATGGTGAAAGTATCAGGAGAAATCCTAAATAAACATTACAATTGCAAACAGTATCTGGCCACCTTAGACTACTACTCCTATAAAATGCCTACAGTTATTATTTCCATTACTTTTTTTACAGAAAACAACCATACTTTGTTGTGTACATGTGAAAGTTAGACTGGGATGTCTTGCTGTAAAATGCTGAAGTCAGGGCAGATGAATCCCAGGTCACTAATTGTGCTCCTGTTTAATTGATTATTGAGGTACCATTCCACTATGTGCCAGTCACTCTTTTCCTAACCTTGTCTGTGATGATTTTTACACATAATTTCTTTATAAAGTGTGGGACACAGGTAGTTAAGAGACTAATCACATGTAAGAATTGTGCCTACTGAGACGACTGGTAGGAAAGAAAGCTCACTGAGGACCACAGACTAGTCAGATTTAGAATTATCTTCCTGTCTGTTATTAATACTCAAATGATAAATGGCCCTGAAATCTTGTTATGAGCTTCCCGTGAAGACTGGGACTATTCCAAGCCTTTTAAAATTAAAAGAGGTATTTTTATATGTTTTAGATAATTTTTCTTAAAAAATACTTTTCTTCCAAAAAGTTCCATAGAATATTCAGCATCAAAGAGCATAACGACTTTAGCAGATTATTTAATATGGAACAGAGCCAGCACTAAGACATGAGTACCACACATTTTCCTGCTAGAAGTAAAGCTCCTGTAAGTACATTTTGAACATGAAAAGGAAAATTGTACAATCGATGACAGCTGTATCATGTTATCAAATTTACCTAGAACTCCCCACTGAACCCTTCTGAATCTCACTGAATCTGCCTAGGAACTGATGGTATCATATGACTGTATATTTGGGTCTTGTTCAGCAGCACTATGTGAGCCATGTGGCTATGCACCAGACAACATGGGCTCGCTAATGTGAAAATTTCCACTGAATCAGCTAATGCTACCAATCCAAACAGAATTTGGCCCACTGTCTTATTTGTTGCATAGGAACTCCCATAAAATCACAGCATAGTAGTAGAAATAAACAGAGCTGAATGTACAGGAACTTACCAATCAGACAAGAATGTGATAATATTTACTCCCTCCATTCAAAAAAGAAACATGATTTATAAATAAAAAGTCTTAGTAAGGTGTACACATTTTAAGTATAAAAATACAGTTGATTTAGGCTGATAAAAAAATGATCCATTTCACTAAAATCTTAATGTTTTGTTTCTGTTGATCTTCATAATATGCAAAGTTGACAAGAAGACACAAAGAAAAGGTTTGAAGTAACAAATCAAAGTGGTCTGTTCCCAGAGAATCCAAGTCAAACATTTCAAGTTTGCTGGAATGCTCCACTCTAATTATTAAATTTTCTTAAAATAATGTTTCAGCTGAAGAAATTTTCATTTCAGGAAATTTCACTTTTAATGAACCAGTATTTTCCAGTGGAAAGAAAAGAACTTCCTTGAAAAAGTCCTCAACCATTTTCCCAAAACTACATGCCTATCATAGTTTTTCCTCTACCCTTGACCAAGAATCAGTGACCTTGTTGTGGCCTCATAAACTGACCAGGAACAGGACTGTTGTCCCTCAAATTCAATTGGTCCTTCTCTTCTCAAGCCCTCCAGACTTACCATAATAAGGAAATACAGGCTGGTTAAATGAATATCACCTCAGATGGCCGTGCTGTGACTCTGGACCAGCACCATATCAAGATTCTGCACTTCTTAGACATGGGAATACCAACACTATGGGGAATTCCCTCCACTGGCACACACTTTTTAGGCTACCAGCTTAAGAGTACGAGGAAGAGTTTTATACAAGGTTACTCCTGTAATTACTGGAATAACTCCTTGAGATACCTGAAATGAACAGTGCTTGGAAGGTCCTACAGAGAATATGGTCTATGGCTCAGCATACCTGCTAAACTTGTGTTGCTGCTTGGAGGGATCAAGATGTTCAGGTGTAAAGTACTAGAAGGGGCCACTTTGGTTGTAGATGGGACTGCAAGTCTAGTATCAACAACCAATCAAAGACTGCTCTGTCACTAATCAAGTTGCCTCAAAGCAAAATCAGACATCAATATTTAGTGCAAAAAAAAAAATGGCAATTCTACAGTTTTGCATGATGTGGAGTAGCAGAAGCTGACAGAATGAGGACAGCAGGTGAGACTGGATATCTTGCAAACTCTGAAGGCAAAGAGGAAAAATCTGACCTGCATGTCAGGTTTAATGCACAAAACTGACTTAAAGATTAATTTAAGGACTATTAAAAGCTCCATATAGGCACCCAGCTCCAAAGCAGGATCTTCAAAAGCACCGTTCCATTCCCAAGTCTCCTAAAAGGGAACACTCCCAGAGAGATTTGGCTTAAAGTGAAAGGCTGCCAGGTAAATATGCAGCCGTTGCTCTTATCTAGTTAAGGTTAATATCACCTTCATTTCCCACTATCAGTTTAATGTTTCACTTGCTGAGTACTTTATGCACCAGGGAGAACAACCAGTGGCTGTAAGGAAATCGCCATTCCCTGTACTTTATGACACGGATTTAATGATTTCCAGGAATTAGTGACAGGAATGTGAATCAAAGAATCCAGCTTCATTGTACTCCATCAACCCACATTCATGATTGCATCATGTCTACTCTTCCCCATCTTCGTAGTGTTAAACTCCTTCCTTCAAAATAAGTAACTAGGGCTGCATTCCTGTCCTCATCTGTCCTATCTAGGCAGTCACCTGCACAGCAAATGCTCTCATCATATTCTTCCCCAGAACAGAGTACAGGTTTTCCCACCTTTGGCATAAAGCTAGGTTTTGGGAAGTTTGTTCCACAGCTGCTTGATTCCTGAGCCTTCATGACGCCCCAAGGACCATATCCTGTGCTCTTTCCTAGGAAACCCATGCTGTCACTGGAAGCTTAGGCATGGGGCATTACTCACGTGTCTGTTCCAGAAGTGTCTCGAGCTTTTCTAACGCTTGTCTGAAACATTTGTGTATGTTTTAGCTTGCAGTAAATGTACATGAACGTGAAGGGGAAAAACTTCCTGAGGCACAGGAATTCCAAGTCAGAAATTTATGGACTTTTTGCAGAAAAAATTTCAACACAGATGTCAAATATCTTCAATCTGCCTTGATGGAGGTGGAGGAAGAGGAGGGAGGAGGCAGTTCAAACTATCACTGGCCTGTTAGGAATTTCTTTGTGAGGTCCACAATCATTCAAGTTGTTTTTCTAATCCTTCTCATTTTGGCTAGCCACAAATTTTCCAGGGCTACTGTTTGTGGTCCCTTTTGAATGGTAGCACCTTTTCACTTGAAAAAAAATATCCTTTGGGGCAAAGCCCATAATGTGGCTAGTAGTTTCATTTCTGGTTTCAGTGAACCTCTGGTGAACCTGACAAATCTCTGTCAGGAAAGCTGACAGTGAGGTTGAACCATGAAAGAAATGTTCTTTAACTCAAACCTTTCCAGAGTTTCCAGGATCAGAAATTCTTACAAACCAGCTGAGACGTGATAAACAGACAAATACTGTTGAAATGACAACCAGAAGCCTGCCTGCTGCCTTGTGCCATATCTGCCTTGATACAGCTATTGGCAGTACTGCCAGCCCATACCATTTTACAAGCATTTACTGTCCACCATCAGAAACTAATTATGATACTGAACGTAAAGCAAAGAACTGCAAAGAAATATATGAAAACCGGTTATCAATTAGGAGGCTAAAAATACGAGTGAATTTTCAGTCTCCTTTTTCAACTACATCTTGAAGATTATGCCATTGGGATGCAATCAGCAGACAATAAAAGCAAGAGAACAAAGAATTGTCAGTGGAGAGTCTGTTATCTTCTGACTGAAATGAGTGATATCCCCTGACATCAGGAGCATGATATGGGCAGGGAGACAGACTTATAGCTGGTCTACTTTTGAATGAAGAGGGAAAGCTGTTTTGAAGGAAAAAGACAAAAGGAAGGGCAAAAGCAAAACATATTCTCCCCTCCCTGATTTAGAATCATACTCTGGTTCCACTTATGCTCTATTTTCTTTACAATTCTTTCAGCTACAGCATTCGGATAATGTTGAACACATTTCATGCATCACTAATAACAATTTAAACACCAGCTTACCCAAAATAAGAAGTTGAAGATGAACATGGAGTACTTCATGCAGCTGCTGACACCCGCCATTTTCAACAAGCTTAGACAAAAACAAGCACTGCAGAAGAAGCTCTCCTATGAGTTTGACCTTGATATAAAAGTTGTTCCTGTGTCTTCAGAAAACCTCTCAAACCACATCAAATACACCATGCTCTGCTACTGAAAGCAAAAAATCGCAACCAAGGCATCGACAACTACTTAAGTAGTTCCTATAGCATAGGTAAATATTAACCAGAGCACTGGGGTAAGCACTACCAGGTGTTATCACCAAGTCTCCAGACTCTTATTGCATCTGTGATTCGGACTTTTCCACCATCTTATTAGTATTATCCTACGCCTCAAATGTAAATAGATAATGCAGCAAAAGTCATATTTTCAACAGAAAGGGAAGTGAGCATAAAAATATGTTACGGACTTGCTTTTGAGAGGTGAAAATTATGGCATTTCTTAATGATTTTAACTAACGGGGGCTACTTTTCTCTGCCCGCTGATCACTGCCCACATTCATTTGGTCACGTTCACACTCCCACTCTGGGTGTTCAGCCAGCATAAAGAGATGGGTCTGTGTTATCCCAGCAGAGGAGGGGTAAAGAATCTACCAATATTTTCTCCCCCTCATTGTCTACTGCAGATCCTTTTCCTCTTCCTCACCAAACCAGAACTCTAGGAACCCGAGCACTGTGGTGCAAAAAACATCTTGCTGTGCACGTTTCCAAAAGTGTTGTGAAACTCATCACAGCAATCACAGTTCTGGCATCAGATGCAAGATACCTCTCAGCAGCAGGAGCTAGATCCATCCCAAAAGACAAGGCAGTAAACCTGTTTCATTAATTTTGTTTTACATCTTGTTTATTTTCTTTTGTGCTCTTCAAACTAGGAATCCTGAGGGAAAAATAAAGGTATTGCTGTGTTTTTTCTATCAGCCCATTTTCTGGAGTAGCCCTGCATAGCAGCCCTTGGAGGGATGAGGATCAGACACAGGTTCCCCAGAGTTCATCATAAAAAAAAAAAAAAAAGAAAGCTTTATTTTGCAGATGAGCACAAAGGATTTAAATGTGAGAGATTAAGTGCATGCCGGAGTGAACTGATTTATGAAGCCCCCTTGGCCCAAGCCCGTTTTTCAGTCTTCACTGTCAGTTCCCATTCTTCAATTGTGCTGTCTGTATTTGAAAAAAAATGTGAAAGTGTTAGTATGTAACACACCTGTAGATGGTGACAAAAAGATGTAACTTGGAGCCTGGCTTTTGTAGGATTCACAAAACCTACACTTCATTGAAAAAAACCTTCTCCTACCTGCTCTCTAAACTAACTTTTAATGAAGGTGTGATGTTGTAATCTATCCATTCACTTTCACTAACCATAATTTGACAGACAAAACCATTCCTATTTTTATGAGTAGCTCTGTATCTGCCTTTGACTTTCTGGACCCCTTCCTGGAGTAATGTTCTTTTTTCTAACTCTAGGAGATCGACTGTCTGACTAGCTTATTTCACAATATCCACCCTGAATCTGAGAATGTTCCTAAAAATAATTGCACTCATGAAATACAGATTTTGTAAGGATTGGGAGAAACAACTGTGTGGTATGGTTTAGATTGAAAGCACTCAAAAAATAAGTAAGTTGAGAAATGTGGGTGTCTTTATGGAGAGATGCCATAGCCACAGCTGAATCACAAGAAAAATTTAAAGGGCCATATAAAATTGTATGAAAAAGGCCATGAGGGGTAATAAGACAATCACAGATGACATGGGATTTGAAGAGAGATATCTGCAATCAGACCATGCAATTGCAGTAAACCAAGTTTATTACGAGTGTGGAAACATCATTTTGTACCAGAAACTACAGAGCTATAAATCTTCACGCACAGTAGATACTCATTAAAGGCGGCTTGATCTGTATCACTGTTGTCTGTGATGCTTAGCCCAGGCATTCTGTCAGAGATGCCTGAGGGAAACTGCTAAGGCAATAATTGTATAGGAAGCAAGCGTGTGCATTCACATGTCAGCCCTTCAAAACAGGCCTATGTGCAAGGACCTTTCACACACAAGAGGTGTGCTGTCGCTTCATCTCCCTGCTTTTCTCCACAGCAGTCCTGGGTTTTGAGCAGGCAGGGGTCTGCACCAGCAATGACACAGACTGACTCCCAGAGTGGTATATAGTCCTGGGTCTGCTGGAGAACCCCAGCCCTGTCTGAGGGCAGAGAGCTCCACAGCACCTCTGGACCCTTCCCCAGCCTCCATCCTCGGGAGGTGTAAGGCCAGCACAGCTGAGTTTCTCCTTCAGTCTAGGAGATTTAAACAGGTGAAGATAGGTATGATTTAGATCTCAAATCTATTTTCATTCCAATTTTATACTTATGGCCGTGCATGTTGAAGAAATTTGCCAGAACTTGCCGGATTTTTTTTTTAACTTTTTTTTTTTAAACACTATGCCTATCGAACGATAACCATAAGCAAGTTCTGGTAAGATCCCAGTTCTTCCTAAACATTGAAGAATCTACCTGTATTTTATATGTTTACTGATTTCCCTGGAAAAAACAAACAAACAAAATAACCACCAAAACAAACAAACAAAAACTTTCCTAGGACCTGATAGATGGTCCTTTTCTAAGATGGCAAATAAAAAACAGCCAAAGTTAAATACATCTCCTAGTGGTTTTTTGACATGATAAATATGGCTGCTGAACAGAAACTCAGTATCTGAACTACAGTTCCTACATGTTCCATATCCATATTTAATGGTATCCAAAGCAAAATTATGCCATCTAAAATTAAAAGCAAACAAGCAGTTTCCATGAAGTGACAGATTTTCAGGTTTAATCTTCTGTGTGAGATGATGATTTCTTAGTTCCTGGCTACACAGTGCTTTTTTATATGTCTTGGAGAAGGGGAAAGCCACAACTATGGCACAGATTACGTTTGCAGTTGTATCTACAAGTATGAAGGTCATGCAGATAATTGCAGAGACTTATGAATGACAGCAATGGCACAAGAAATTTTGCAGCTATTTGGCTGCATGTGAGAGTTCTCCCATCACCTCTCCACTAACTGTTTTGATGATCATCTATGTCCTACCAATAACAAAGCCTGTGCCACAAACTGCTTAAAATCTCTTCTCAGTCAAGAAGTTGTAAAACCCCATTCACTTACTGCTCCTCCTTACAGCTTAGAGGAGGAGGATTACCAGTGTACAGCCTGGGTGCAGGGCAGGGTAGGAGCCTCTGACAGAGCACATGCAGCTACCCACCACAACAGGGGAGCTATGACAACGTTCTGACCTTGCCTGTTGTGTCACATAGGAAACCAGACAGGGAGAAGTATATTTGGGCAGAAAAAAATGCCAGTATACCTGTAAAGAACATGGAGTAAAGCATGTCCCCTTTGACACTTCCCAAGCAACTATGGCTGAGTTTGCAACACTTTTATCTTCCTTTCCCTCCAAGCCTTTCCTCACTTTGAGACTTATTCTTCTTTTTTTACAGCCTCCATTTCCCCTCGTGAGGTGTCTCTCCATGGTCAGATTGTGACTAAAGCATCGTATCAGATGATTCACTGTATAGCTAGTCATATGTTCAGGTCTGGACTTGAAAAACTGGTTTGTCCGAGGCAGTGGTGAGCTTTTTGAACCACGGGATGTGGATAGTGGATAATAAAAGTTTGTTTGCCATTGGAATTTCAGCTCAGTGTGGCAATAAATGCACAACAGAGAAGACAGGTAAGAACTATATTCCATATGGAACTTGCAGCCTCAAAATGATCAGCAGATCTCTGGATCTGCTCAGTCAGTAGGGACAGTCTATGTAAGCTGTGCAGAGACAGATCTCAGGCTGCCACAGCATTTGTCCTTCAGCTGAAGGGATACTTCATCTCTTCCAACCTCACCTGTTGCGATGAGGTCTCTAATCAGCACAAATTTCTGCATTTCCTGGTTAAAATTCTGTCTAAACAGGAGTGCAAAGTATAAGAGATTTTTCATGCTTTCACAATAGTTCTTTCACATGATGTCAGGTGAAAGAAATGCTGTGTGCCATCAGCCTTGACAGCATTTTGGCACTCAACTAAATGGGGAGTGCTGCCTAAAGAAGACGTTTGCACTCCAAACGGTAGGACAAAGACCTTCAAATCAGTGGCAAATAGGAGCATATGCTTTAGTTCTTGAAGGTATTTGCCACACTGGGTCTGACTGAGGTTGCAGTCAACCTAGTACACCTCATATCTTGGGTTCAACCTTAGCAAATGGATCTTACTGCAATACCATAATAGCTAGTAGTACTTCAATTGCAAAACTGACGTATACTCCCATGTCTCACTCTTAGCAAAATACTAGTGTCCTAACAAATCTCATTTATGCAGAATTATTTTGCATTGGAATATGTGTGGAACTGACACTGCTGCTGAGTTTATACTCAGCTCCCAGAGTCAAACAATTACAAGATTCCTTGCCCTCTTTTTAAAATATCCTTTAATCTAGGCCTTGAGATGAAAGATAAGAGTGGAAAGCACAACAAAAATATGCCTGAGAACTCCAAAGACTGAATAAAAAGTAGAAGAAAGAAGAAAGTAGTATTATATTTAACCACACGAGTCTCATACAGTTTTCATGATTTTGGGTAGCTGACTTCCGAATGACAACACTATAAGCAGATAAACTTCTTGCAAACTTCTGTGCCTCACATGACTTAGAGAGCTATGATTGGGTCCAAGGCTGATCCTGCAACCAACCACACTAAAAGGAATGAGAGTATTTTCAGTGTGTTAGGCATGTACACGGGTGGCTGAGTCAGCTGTCTAGGGTGCCTTCACAGCTTCTGCAGATGAATGAGGACTCCTAATGAGTGATTTAGCTTATCCTAGAATAGGCATGAAAACAGGCCAGGTAAATTGTGCCATTAAGCTGCCTTTTTCTTTCCACTGACCAAAAAGTGAGCCTAGGAAACTGAAGTCATTTGAGGTAGATCCCACCCAAGAGTCTCCCCATGGGGCAGCGTCTCTGTTTCACAGTAGACCCTTTCCGCTTTTACAGTGCTCTAA